AAGGTTCTCTGGAGGCGCTCTTTCGGGACTTCGGACAGCTCTCGCGGCGAGTGTCGTTGAGTGCCGTCGTCGTCAAGCAGTCGTCAAATACTCGTATCGTTCGTGTTCTGTCGCTGTCGGACCGAGGCTGGAGATTTGCAACGCGGGACACTCCAGACAAGGTGAATCTCTCTCTCTTCGCGCGCGATTTGAGGAAACCTGTGAGTGAGGCATACATTACAACTTTACAACGAGCGGCGGAATCCGGAACTGATGTCGCGCGGGACGGCGCGGCGGTACTCCGACGACGACGGGTCGCGTAATCAATCGTGATCGGTCGCGCGCGTCGTGAGTCGTTCACAACGAACGGGGGTGGCCGCCGCCCGCGGCACGGTCTTCGCGCGCCAGCAGTCCGTCGAAACATGCGTCCGTTGCGGGGCGACGGGAACCGAGCGACAACCAAGGAGGCTCCTTCGAGGAACTGTCAGGGGAACCGTCGCCACCACCATCGCTGCCGACGCCGCCACCACCACTGCCGTTACGCGTGAGTCAGTGCGGGATCGGACGGAGGCGACGCACGCAAAATGGCTTCGGGCGACAATGTGGACGTGATCGAGGTGGTCGAGACGACGAGCTTCCCCGTGCCGGCGCAGCCCACGATGGATCACCTCAGACCGGAGCAATCCACCATCGAGGAGGACTGTGAGTGAACGTGACACCCGTACTCCGTTTCGTCTCCCTCCTCCCCCCCCCCCTTGCCGCGTGCCTGGACCATCCATTGTGACCTAACCTATAACCGCGACCCCGGACGCCGCGTCGGGCGTCGTTTGCTCGCTCGACGATGATTTCCTTGGCTCTCGCGAATCACCGTGGCTCGAATCGCGACCTGATCGCGATGCTCGCGCCTCGCACGCGGCCTTGTGCTACTCGCGTTCGATCGAAGATCCGTTTAATGTTAACTGACCGTGTTTGACAGCTAATGGGTGTCACCCGACCTACAAAGCGCGAACGTGAGAGTCCGTACGTGAGTTATCGTGAGACGTGGGGAACGTCTTGTTTCGAAATGCGCTCCGCGTGTCGACGACGTGGCTCCTTCCTGCGAGCTGCGAGGTAATCGATCGATGGATAAATTTGACGGCCTCCGAACCATTTCTGTCCTCCTGTCGTCTTCGCGATGCAATGGGTGCCTTTCCATTTGGTGACACAGTTAATACAAGTCAACGCAAGTATCGTTCTGTCTTTATTACTCATGAAATGCCAAGAAAGATGGGACTACGTTGATGTTAACTTGTGTTAGTAATATTGAATTTGATCATTTGCATTACACTAAATTAGTACATGCTAAAAGCTGTTGTACATGAAATTAGCAAAACTAAATGTAAAGCATAATGCATATTTTAAATAATTAAATACCCAATAATGATACTAGG